GCCATCGTTTTTTCGGCGTTCTAGCCCCCTTGCTGATGGCGACACAGGCAAGCACATGTATTTGCCCTTGTAATGCATTACACTGACAACTGCTGAGTATTTTTTTCTGGAAATAACACTTGTGGTGGTAATTCATAAGCACAAATTGTTATAGATTTCTGATGATGAGGATTTGTCTGCTGACGAATCATTGGACATAGAAAAGGACGAACCGGAGACTAAAAAGCTGAAACTCAAAAATGGTGACAAGAAGCTTACCGAAGGCCTATGTTACTATTGCAGGCAGGCCAAGCAGGTCAGATACGCATATTTTTTTTTCGCATTTTTCCCGCTTTTTGTATTACAGTTATGCCAAAACTAGGGTGAATATGTTCTTTTATTCTTGTACTTAGCAAACGTATCAGAACCGCCCGGGATATCAGTGTGGTTCTCCAGCATTAGTGATGTTACTAGGATACTTCAATACGCCGAGCGCAGCTATGCCAGGCCTCTCGACTCTGGGATTGCATACCTCCAGTTAGTATCTGTCGTCTCTTCGATGTGTGCAAACCTTTTTGGAAATCATGTGAGAGGCTGTTTTCTTTTCGCGGGTATCGTTCGCTAATGAGCGACGTTCTTCGGCTGTCGGCAAGGCGAGTAGCATGCTTTACCCAACAGATTTTGTTTTCTCATGTAATCGCAATGATATCTTACACGCCGTTTATTTGGCAGAGATCCGATTATTTGTACGGTCGCGGAAAAATACCCCAAGCATCCTCCGCTACATTGTTCTCTACGTCACTGCCAGCGCTTGCTCTTCAGCTTTCGTATTTGACCACGGTCACGCTCCATAATTTATTGCCTTCAACACAGTAACAGGAGGTGGGCACAGTCCCTCCGGTTTGACACTTTAAGGAAATCGATGATACCATGGGATTCCTTCAACTTGCAATCTTCAGTTGGAAATTGTGGCGCATATTACTTCCTGTTCTAGGTAGACATAGCTGTCAACTTCTTCCAAGTCCACACGGCCCATCTGCAATCTTGTCGCTGACATCCCGCACATTGCACGTCACTTTATTTGTCATTCTGTTGATATTCAGTGTGATGACGAATGGTCTTTGTCACTTACTTCCAGCTCAGTAATCAGGAAATCTGGGAGGCTGAGCTTTTGCGAGCATGTTCCTGGCATACGCGCCATCCTTGTACCTGAGATCATATCTCACGGCATTCTGGATCTCACACACGGACACTGAAAATGTATGCAGATTTTTTGGCGGAAAACGGTTCCGAGAATCAAACTAGTTTATTTAGCTGATATTTCACATGGGTGTTCCTTGTCCATCTGTGAGTTAAAGATTTCAAATTCAGCTATTGCGCAAGCTTACATCCCGCGTAAAGCCACATCAAATTTCAGAGTTGGCTACATGCCAGCCCTAGAACTAGCCGGGAAATAGTAACTGGAATTTTGTCAAATCATCCATCTGGGAAGATATTTACCCAAGTCGCTTTTGATTTGCACATGTGGTACGCTTTAGGGCTCATCAGAGATATTTGTAGCGCAGTGGCCATTTCGTTTGCCTGAGATGCTGCGAAAGTGAGACTTTGCAGGATATTCTGTGTTCATTCGTAGTTTTAATCTGGAAGTTAAATTCCCTGCACCTAGCAAAAACTCAGTTTTATCGCAACCTCAGAAGTGAGTGCATTTCACGAATCCCGCAATCCTCCTTTTCCAACGTCGTATGCACCGTCAAATCTGCATTTTTCGATGAACGACCGCAATTGTTCATTCCTCTTTGTGCGAAATTGGTAATCATGCACGCTGGAGATCTACGCGACCTCATAATGCAACAGTACCATCCTAGCCCATGCTTTTTTCCCTTTGCACACAAGAAAAAGCTAAAACAGTCAAATGCCGATAAGACATGTAGAGGTTAACCTGCATTGTGGGCATTTTTTGCAACACAGCTAGCTTTGATGGGTTTTTTTTTTGTTTGCATATTCCTCTTTCAGTTATCATTTGATATGCCATCATACGGTTCTTGCCAACGGTGCGCAAAAGGAACATCGAAAGCAGCGATAGATGAGAAAAACGACCTGCTCCTTTCACTGACTGAAAAATTCTCAAGAGAAGGGCGACTTTATGTGAATAAAAATAGTGTTCTAGATACAAGTATCGGTGCAATTATCGATGACAGGTGAGTGCTTAAGATTTGTCAGGAAAATTTTAAAAAAACAGTTACGCTGCACAAACGCAGAGACATCTGGCATATACAGACTTTTTTTATTGTATGTATGTATGTATGTATGTATGTATGTATGTATGTATGTATGTATGTATGTATGTACGGTATGTATGTATGTATGTATGTATGTATGTATGTATGTATGTATGTATGTATGTATGTATGTATGCAGTGGTATGTATGTATGTATGTATGTATGTATGTATGTATGTATGTATGTATGTATGTATGTATGTGTGTATATGTGTGTGTGTGTTTGTCTATTTCACTAGCCATTCCAACCCAGCAAACGAGAAGTGCGGAAGCTGAACTGTTTAGGGCATGTTCTTTATGTGGTTCTTTTATTCTAAAATCAACGTTCGCATGCGGAGCCAAAATTGATAGTTGATGTTGAGTAAAAGATTTCAAATTCAGTTATCATTCACGCCTACACTCACACGTACTGGTATGTCAAACGTCTTTGGGGAGAGTGCCAACTCGAGAACCAAGTGCTAGAGAACTTTGACTTTAGGAGAATATTTTTTTTTCCATACGCGAGCAGGTGTGAGTAAAACGGGCGCTGGCATAAGCCTAGCCTGCCTCTTCGGGCTCGTCAAAGACGTTTGTAACGAAAAGCGATTTTGCCAATCAATTAAGTTAGGAAGCTGAAATTTTACGTGGGATCTCCATTTCTGTGTGCGACATCTAAATATTTTAAAATCAGCTTTAAAGAACTCATAAGTCCCACGCACGCGGGAGCGAAAGCTTAATTCGGGATATGCTTAGTACCTAATTAATTCGGTAATCAGACTGAGCAGAAAACATTTTTTTTGGAGGATGTTTGCTGTTAATTTTCGGGCCAGCAAGCCTAAAGTGAGCTTTTGCTTGCAAACTTACCCTACAGACACATCAAATGCTCAAACTGCAACACTGGCGCCATACTTTTTAATCATACAAGCATGAAAGCTGAAGTTTTTTGCGAATACTGCCCGATTCTGTAAATATAATAAATGCTTTCATGTATCTTAGCGTTTCGTACGGATACGGCGAATTTCAGATTGCAGAAATGCTTGAGAGTAACGGTTTCGCCACTGGATTTAAATTTCATTGCCTCAAATGGTTTTTTTTTTCAGTGTTTACATGTGCGTCAAATGCAACGGACTTCATTTTGGCAAAGAACATATTCTGAAGCATTTGCGTGTTTGTTTGCAGAAGGATATGGATTTACCGGATTTGGATAAGAGTTTCGATTTAACTGATTCTAGCGTTGTAAGCACATTTCTCTCTTTTTTTTAGGGAACCAACTAAATCATCTGCACCGAAACTGACGTAGAAATGGGCCTCGTTTTCTAATAAATGAGACATTTAGACTGTATTTGCTGTTACAGTAATGTTTCTACATAAGTGTGCCACAGAATTTGATAGCAATTGAACCCGTACGAAAACATGTCTTTGAAAAATTTTTCATGGCAGAGGTGTTATTTGTCTTACATTTGCAAAAGTCAGCTTGACATTGTGGAGACAACTGAATTAACTACTACATGGAGATAAAGGAAGAAATTTAAAAACAAGGGAAATGTTGTCTTGTTGTAACTTTCTCACCACCATCTATGACAATCTGCTTCGAAATGTCACCGAATTAAACACTTAGTTTGAGAGGATGAGTTAGTTTGAGAGGATTCGTTAGAATGCGCCGTTTTCAATTGTGAATTGTTCATTGCCGCGTAGAAAGTAGCAAGTTTTATCCCTCAAAGCACTTCACCCGATTATAGTGATAGGATAATGTCTGCTCTAATCCATAGAAAATGACCGGTAATAACGTACTTCTGATCTTCCGATAGAACTTGAGACGATACCATCCACATAATTTGAAACGGAGGTAAAAATTCATAAAATAATGTTATGTATCTTCACATGATCCGAAATGAGAAAGTCATCCCGCA